GGTTTTACTGAAGACAAGACTTCAGCATAGTCTTCAAAGTCTAGCAGTGTTCAGGGGATTCTTTTTTTTTTTTTTTTTTTTTTTTTTTTTAAATGCCTCAAATGAAAACTACAAAACATCACACTGGTTGTTTTATGGTTTAAGTAACTTTATTGAAGGGAAACTAAAAAGAAACAGAGCGACAAGTTGATTATCAACCATCAGCTTTGCATCATATTTTTAGGGCTACAAGAAGACAGTGTTCGAGTGGGTGTAAAACTAAGAGCTCAACTACTGGCTTCTAAATAACAAAAAGTAGAAGAAAGCCTTTGAGGGGAACCAAATTTTTTTCCAACTGTTCAACCTTACAATCCACTTAATTTGCAGAAACATATCAGATAATATAGCCTACCTTTATTAACATGCATAAAATACAACATTGAAGTTCTTACATTGGTTTCTTTAACATTGATATATACTGCTGTGCTTCTCTGTACACACTTTGATAGTGGAATAAGATACACTTCTTTCCTCAGATAATAAACTTCATTTACTATGCATCAGAAGAACAAACTGACATCGCACCGGTCCCTGGAGGCAGACAGGGTCCACAAAACAGTTTCTTCATTGTCACAGATTTGTATTTGTTTTTTTCCTTAAGTGCAGCAGAATACCGCCAATTTGAGAATTCAAAATTTACAACAATGGCAAAACACAGACTTTGCCCCAAATGCTCAAAGAAGCCCGGCCTGTGACGAAGTATCAACCCCAGAGGATCCAGTCTGTCTACAAGTGGATCAGCGTAGGGTTGATGCTGCTCAGCATGAGGAGACCAGCTGCATCAGATTCTACCAAGTGTGTGCAGAGTAAATGACTATCATCACCAATTTTGGGTTGAAAACTCTTACCGGTGCATGCTCAAGCCGAGTCTATAGACCACGATAGTTTTCGTGATTTATATACATTTTTTAAAATTTGAACTCTGTATAAAAACAGGAGTCGAAACTTTACAGAAACTGGCACAAGTCCTAGAGAGAAAACACTATCTTCTTATGAGCGCGCAGGTGGGAAAAGGAGGGGTAAAA